CACATCTTTGGTATTTACTAGAATGAGTTGAAAAGCTACATCCACACACAAAAATCTGCACATGGATATTTATAGCAGCTTTATTCATAGTTGCCAAAACCTGGAAGCAATCAAGATGTCCTCCAATAGGTGAATGGATAAACAAGCTCTGGCACATCCAGACGATGGAATTTTATTTAACACTAAAAAGAAATGAACTATTAAGCCACAAAATGACATGAAAGAAATGCAACTGCATATTACTAAGTGAAAGAAGCCAATATGAAAAGGGTACATACTGTATTATTCCAACTATATGACAGTCTGGAAAAGGCAAAACTATGGAGACGGTAAAAAGTTCAGTGGTTGCCAGAGGCAAGGAGAGAGAAAGATTAATAAACAGAGCAGAGAGGATTTTTAGGTCAGTGAAACTATTCTGTATGATATTATAATGATGTGTATATGTCCTACATTAGACAAAATCATAGAACGCACATTACCAAGTGTGTACCCTAATGTAATGATGGTGCTAATAATGTGTCAAAGTTGGTTCATCAGTTGTAACAAATGCACCACTCCTGTACAGGATTTTGATAGTGGGGGAGGCTGCCAGGGGCAGGGCAAGAAGGGAGAATATGAGAACTCAGTACTTTCCACTCAATTTTTCTATCCACTGAAAATATCCTAGATAATAAAGTCTATTGAAAGAAAAAAAGAAAAATATTCTGATATATACAAGATAAATTTACCGCAAAAAAATATGCTCAGTGAAATAATCCAGATTGAAAAAAAAAAAAGACAAGTAGTATCTGATTCCACTTATATCAGATACATAGAATAAACAAACTCATAGAGACAGAAAATATAATAGTAGTTTCCAGGGGCTGGGGATAATAACAAATCATTATTTAATGGGTACAGAGTTTTACTTTGAGAGGATGTAGAATTTTTGGACATGGGTAGTAGTGATGATTGCACAACAATGTGAATTACACACTTAAATTTGTTAAAATTGTAAAGTTTATGTCGCGTATTTTATCACAATAAAAAAGGCAAGAAAAGAAAATTCTTTGCTTTTATATTTTTCAGATTTATCTGTGTTTCCAATGAAGTTAAGTAATAACCAAGTTGAGCATTTATATGAATAATCCTTGCTCACAAGAATTATGGTTTATTTGACTTAAGATTTGACAAATAACTGAACTTTCTCTTTTTTCAGTCTCTTTGTTCAAAACCTAAATTCCATATGAAATGTCTTCCATCACTGAACAACCCTTAATTATCTTGATATGCTTCACATTTAAAATCTGGAAAATTTAAAATAGATCATACTGAGTAACAGAATTCAAATTGGTCCTGGGAGAATTGAGTTCAAAATAATATTTATAAAACTAGAGATAAGGTAATACTAAATTATGAACAGTATCTTGAGATCTGCTTTTTCGCAAACTGGAACTGTTCCCCTTGTTCTGACCCAGTAAAAATACATATCTTCAAACAGTACAACTAAGTTGGAGCATCCAAATATATTAGCCAGCCCATGGCACCATACAATGGGGAGGGACTCCCAAGTTTCCAGCTTCTACCTTTGGACCATATGCCAAATGCCCCAACTTTTCTAGCTCCTACCTAAAGGATGGGTCCCCACGGGTCACTATATAATGATAAAGGGGTTGATTCATCAAGACTTGAATGTAAAGACTTGTATTTAAGACCTGAAACCATAAAAGTCATAAAAGAAAACATATAAGGGGTAACCTCCTTGATATTGGTCTTAGTGATGATTTTCTAAATCGGACTTCAAACACAAAACTAAATAAGTGGGACTATAACAAACTAAAAAGCTTCTGCACAGCAAAGGAAATCAACAAAATGAAGGCAACCTACTGAATGGGAGAAAATATTTTCAAATCACATATCTGATAAGGGTTAAATATTCAAAATGTAAGAACTTATACAACTCAAGAGCAAAGAAACCAATAATCCAATTAAAAATTGGAGAGATGATCTGGGTAGATATTTTTTCAAAGAAGACATACAGATAGCCAACAGATACCTGAAGAAACATTCAACATCACTAAACACCAGAGAAATACAAATCAAAACCACAATGAAATATCACCTCACACCTGTCAGAATGTCTACCATCAACAAATCAATATATGACAAGTGCTGGTGAGGATGTGGAACCAAGGGAACCCTAGTGCACTGTTGGGGGAATGTAAATTGGTGTAGCCACTATGGAAAGCAGTTTAGACATTCCTCAAGAAGTTAAAAACAAAAGTATCAGCAATCCCACTTTTGGGCATCTGTCTGAAGGAAAAAATCACTATCTCAAAGAGATGTATTCACCCCCATGTTCATTGCAGCATTATTCACAATAGCCAAGATAAGGAAACAACCTATGTTTGAGTTGGCCGAAAGAAGGACTTTAAAAATGTGGTATCCTATCTAATAAAAGAGAAACATGGTAATTAGCCATACCTCCGCTACCCTTCCCATTGGCTAATCAGGGCGATATGCAAATTAACTGCCAGCCAAGATGGCAGCCGGCAGCCAGGCAGCTTGAAGCAAATATGAGGCTTGCTTGCTTCAGTGATGGAGGATTCCAACGTTCCCCGCATGCCGCTGCCGGCCTCTGAGCTTGCAGTTTGAAACATTGTTACAAATATAGAAGCTAAACAAAATGCCAGAAACCTGTTTTCAGCCAGCCGGGATCTCAGAGCTGGAGTTGAAACAGTGTTTCGATTATAGAACCCAAACAAACCAGATACCTGCTTTCAGCAGCCGAGGCCTCAGAGCTGGAGCCAAGCCTCAGAGCTAAAGCTGGCCCAGAATAAAAAAAAAAGAGAGAAAAAAAAGGAGCGGTTGGGAGCTTCAGTCACCCGCCAGCCTGAAAACAGCCCTCAGCCCCTCACCCAGACTGGCCAGGCACCCAAGTGGGGACCCCCATCCTGAAGGGTGTGTGACCAGCTGCAAACAACCATCAGCCCCTCTCCCAGGCTGGCCAGGCACCCAAGCGGGACCCCCACCCTGATCCAGGACACCCTTCAGGGCAAACCAGCCAGCCCCCACCCATGCACCAGGCCTCTATTCTATATAGTAAAAGGGTAATATGCCTCCCAGCACCAGGATCAGCGTGACAGGGGGCAGCGCCCAAACCCCCTGATCGCCCTGCGGCTCTGTGTGTGACAGAGAGCGGTGCCCCAACTCCCCTATCGGCCCTACTCTGTGAGTGACAGGGGGGAGCTCCTCAACCCCCTGATTGGCTCTGCTCTGTGCGTGACAGGGGGGAGCTCCCCAACCCCCTGATGGGCCCTGTTCTGTGCGTGACAGGGGGGAGCTCCCCAACCCCCTGATTGGCCCTGCTCTGTGCATGACAGGGGGTGGCGCCGCAACCTCCCCATCGACCCTGCCTTGAGTGTGACAGGGGGCGGTGCCACAACAACCCAATCAGCCCTACCCTGAGCGTGACTGAGGGCGGCATCACAACCTCCCAATCTGCCCTGCTCTGTGCATGACGGGGGCAGCGCCCCAACTCCCCAGTCAGCCCTGCTCTGAGCCCGACCAGGGGCTGCACCTTGGGATTGGGCCTGCCCTCTGCCACCCGGGAGCAGGCCTAAGTCAGCAGGTCGTTATCTCCCGAGGGGTCCCAGACTGCGAGAGGGCACAGGCCGGGCTGAGGGACCCCCCCTCCCCCCGAGTGCACAAATTTTTGTGCACCGGGCCTTTAGTATGTATATAATGGAACATTATTTAGCTTTTAAAAAGAAGGAAATCCTGCCATTTGGGACAACATGGATAAACCAAGCGGGCATTTTGCTACGTGAAATAAGTGAGACACAGAAAGACAAGTATGCCATCACATTTATGTGGACTCTAAAAAAAAAAAAAAGTCAAGCTCATAGAAATCAAGACAATGGTGCTTTCCAGGAGGGGCTGGGAAAACAGGGTGAGGTTGGTAAAAGAGTACAAACTTTCAGTTATAAGATGAATAAGGTCTGAGACTCTAATGTATACCAGGTGACTACAGTTTATAATAGTGTATCATGTAATTAAAATTTGCCAAGAGGGTAGAACTCATGTTCTCACCTAATTAAATAAGTAAATAGACATGTGAGGTGATTGCTGTGTTAACTCCATGGTGGTAATCCTTTCACAGTGTATATACAGGGTGTCCCAAAAACATGTATACACACTTTAACAGCTGGTAGCTCAATTTTGAAAATTAAATGTATTTTAATAAACACTGCCTTTATAATTCTTCAAAGTGTATATATACATTTTTGGGACACCTTATATATTAAATCATTACACCATATACTTTAAACATACTACAATTATTTGTTAATTGTATCTCAGTAAAGTTGGGGAAAAATAGCTTACATTTGCTCCTTACAATAATCCCCTAGGTCCTAGAGCCTAGGACCTAGGTAAATATTGCTCTCCCCTCTCTTTTGGTACCAAACACCACCCTTATGGTCCCTCTATCTGGGAAGGTGACAAAATGTCCCTTAGTAAAATCTACTGGAAGTAAACTGTACCCAGAAAAATTACAAGGATTAATAGACATTTGTTCTACGGGAACGATAAGTAAAATGAGGAGCACTAACAAAATTCATTCAACAGTGACTTTGACAAGATGCATCATTGTGCCTCATTTTCTCAATCTATAAACTGGGAATAATCATAGTACCTTCTGCATAGGGTTTTAATAAGAATTAAATGAATTAAATGTATTATGTCCTTAGAGCTATGAACATGGTAAACATTATGTAAATGGTTGTTAAATTTTTTAACTATTTGCTTTTTAAAAAATTGACTTCACCAGCCCATTTCTCTCTACAGAGGAGTCTTAGGCACTGTATAGCTTCTGCCACACATCACAGCTAAAGTTAGCCAATTGCCAATTGTACACCAAGATGAGCAAATTGCTCAATTGAATTATGGTTAAGCTCTTTCAGTTTGATTTATTTAACAATTGTACTCAGGACTTGCATTCTGGGTTTGGTGAAGCTGGGGAAATGACAAGCTGTGACTATGCTGGATCTTTTGTTCTTGAAGTTACTTCCAGGAAGGAAAATATCACTCTGGTCTGCATAGTCCCTAATAAGGACACCAATCAACAGTAAAAGAATATAGTTCAAAGTGAAGAAACAGCTATTAACAAGATCAATTGCTGTGAGTATTTTATGTCTTTTATTTCTATAGGCTCATTTTGTGTTTAATAATAAGCATTTGTTTTGATTTTTTTATAAACTATGTAATTCTGTTTCTAAATTAAATCTCCTAATCACTATATCCACAATTCATTTCATACAATTTTTAATTGTCCAGAAAGAAAAAAAAAGGGGGGGGGCAGAATTTCCAATGAGAAGCTAATATAGTTTATATACTTTATTGTTCATTATTACATACATCTTTCTCATTTAGTGATCATTGAAAGATTATCGAGTTAGCATTATCAGTTCTGTTTTTACAAGTGAGAAAAGAGAGAATGAGAGCAAGGGCGAAAACAAAAGCAAGCGAGGGAGAAAGAGAAACTAGACTTGTTTACTTCTCTTTTAATATTAAATTCAGAAGATCATATTAAAGTTGTAAACTTTTTTTGTCCACATTTTCATAAATAATGAATTCCACATTAATGCTGAAATAATTGAAATAATGCAGTATTTTGCTTTGAATTTCAAATTTATCTTTTTATTTCAAGCTCTTGTCTCCTAAGAACCTCCCAAGGGAGTGTTCACTCTGCTTAATCCTGATAAATGCTTGATTTGTAACATATTTCTTTCACACTAGACTTTCAAAATCCTCCAAGAAAGAGGGCACAGAATTGCTAAAGAACAAAGATTTAGTGCTATGTTTGCACATGACTCAATTCTACCCAATTTGGAGCCTGTTGATTTAAGGTTTAACAGAAAGTCCTTGTAGGACATGGACTGTCTTGTTTAAAAACACGCAGGGCTTTTGATAATACCACTGTTCTCTTACAACCAGAAATTTTACTAAAGCAATTGAAAGAGGAAAAGAAAAAGCCATCTCTAATCTTTAACCTTTTCCTTTTCCTTTCCAGATTTAGTTGAGTGGTATCTTTGTTTTTTAAGGATCTAAGTGTATCCAGTATGCTTAATAAAAAAAACTTCAAATATTATTTGATCAACAAAGCAAAAATGGTGACCAGAAATATTATTAAAATTATTATCCTCTTGCCCTAGCTGGTTTGGCTCAGTAGATAGAGCATCAGCCTGCAGACTGACAAGTCCCAGGTCTGATTCCAGCCAAGGGAACATGCCTGGGTTGTGGGCTTGATCCCCAGTAGGGGGCGTGCAGGAGGCAGCCAATCAATGATTCTCTTACATCATTGATGTTTCTCTCTCTCCCTCTCCATTTCTCCCTGAAATCAATAAAAATATATTTTAAACCCTGACCGGTTTGGCTCAGTGGATAGAGCATTGGCCTGCGGACTGAAAGGTCCCAGGTTCAATTACAGTCAAGGGCATGTACCTTGGTTGTGGGCACATCCCCAGTAGGAGGTGTACAGGAGGCAGCTGATCAATGTTTCTCTGTCATTGATGTTTCTAACTCTCTATCCTTCTCCCTTCCTCTCCGTAAAAAATCAATAAAATATATTTAAAACATACATATATTTAAAAAATTATTATCCTCTCAATTCATCTTTCTTCTATATTTGGTCTTTGGGTTAGACATCTCAAAGTAATAATAAAATACAATAGAAACTGCAGAAAATTGTCAACTGGTAAGTTATATTAGTTGAGGCTTTTTTATTTTTAAAAAATATATTTTTATTGATTTCAGAGAGGAAGGGGGAGAGGGAGAGGGAGAGAGAGAGAGAGAGAGAGAAATATCAATGATGAGAGAGAATCATTGATTGGCTGCTTCCTGCATGCCCCCTACTGGAGATCAAGCCTGCAACCCAGGCATGTGCCCTTGACCAGAATCGAACCCAGACTCTTCAGTCCACAGGCTAACGCTCTGTCCACTGAGCCAAACCAGCTACAGCAGTTAAGGCTTTTTAAAATGAAAGTAAATGAAATCTACTTAACTTGAACAAAATAATAATAATTAATGATAAATAACTTTTCTTAGAATACTGAGATATATATATATATATATATATATATATATATATATATATATATATATATCAGAATCCAAAATAGATAAAAGGACAGGAACTTAGAAAATTCTAAAGACCCAGTAGCAAAAATTCACGGATTTTCTAGAATGCTGTCTAGAGTTACTGAGGTTCCAGAAACTTTGAGTCTGTGTCTTTTGGGTCAAAATTTTCACATTTCTGGAAGGAAAAACCTGATTGGCTTGCTAAGGTCAGGTGATTATCCTTGAATGAATCAGTTTCAATCACTAAAGGTAGGCTCTCAAAATCTTTTTTAAAACCCTTCCATAGCACTGTTACTTCCCTTTAGGCCCAAATATCCTACCAGGACCTACAAGATCTTATTTCATCTGGAGCCTACCTGTTCTCTGAATTTGCTCAAACCACATACCCTGTTACCCAAATACACTGTCCGTTGAGATCTTTATACTTGTTCTCTTGCCTAGAACTTTCCCCATCACTCCTTCTCATTCTTTACATATCAACCAAAATGTCAATTGACAGAGTTTTACCTTCATCCACATCTAAAACAGGTTTCCCCTGTTACTCTCACAGAGTTCCATTCTATACCTCATAGCACTTATCTCAATCTGTAACCAGATGTTTACTTTGGAGTTTGTTTAATCTCTGTCTTCTACTCTCTCCAGCTATAATCTATAAGAGGGAAGAGATTTTGATTCTTTTGTCTCAGTTTCAAAACTGGCACAGTGCCTGATATATAGCAATCAGTCCATGAATATTTGTGAATGAATGAATGAATGAATGAATGAATGAATGAATGAACAAACGATGGTTGATGAAGGATCACCCTTATGCTTCAGGGGCAGTTCTCAAAGAGGGAAACTGATCATCACCTTACACACTATCTAGCACCTGATCATGATGACAACTGACTGATTGAAAATTTGAAAACAAAATTGGCAGAATTTTTACCCCAAACTGATTCATACTTAATATTTTACAGGATGCAAGTAACTTTTTTTTTTTTACTTTGCATAGCTATATTCCCTTTGGGAAAAAAAATTGATAATATTTATTTGGGAAAATGTAGATAGGAATGGCATTTGATTTTACTTACATGTGCCAAACACTACAGTTAGATGGCCTTAGTAATATGAAAAAGTATGGAGATGAAGATAATTATAGAAATAGAGCATGCCTCTGAGTATTTGAAATTCAGAGGATAACATGTTAATTATTAAGCAAACAGCTGAAAACTTCAGTTTTCCTGCTTAGAAAAGCTATTAAAGGAAGACTGTAAAAGATTATGTGGATATAAATTTAATAGCAATTCTCACCCTAACCTAAGTTTTGTCCTAACCTAAGTTATGGAGGACAAAAGGTGATGTTTTATCTTGGTATCCACTCATCTATTGGAATTCTAGGCCTGGGAAATACAGGCTCAGGTCAGGATATATTCATTGTAACCTGCTGCAATACCGAACAGCTTGCACTGGTGGGGGACGTGCCTCTTTGACCCTTCCTCTTCATGCCTATTTTCAAACTCCAACAGGTTATAGGAGGTTATTAGGAGTGGGCTTCTTTAATCCCAGCTGCATTGCATGCCCCAAAAATGAGAGTGCTTAGTGGATCACTTGTTAGGCAGAATTGGTGCTGTGGAATGGACCATCATTGCCCAAACCATCAAACATCTATAAGAATAAGCTCAGTGGTCTTCTTTAATCAAAACCTATATTAAGCCATCATGAATCATAGAGACTACCCACTCCCAGTGATCACAGAAAAAAAAGAAGAGAAAAACTTATAGTAATATTACTAGAGGCCTGGTGCAGGACATTCGTACACTGAGGTGGGTCCCTCAGCCCGGCTTTCGCCCTCTTGCAGTCTAGGACCCCTCAGGGGATGTCTGACTGCTGGCTTAGGCCCACTCCAGTTCCCTGGGGTGCGGGTCTAAGCCAGCAGTCGGACATCCCCCGAGGGGTCCTTAGTGCCACGAAGGAGGGAGAGGCTCTCGCCACCGCCGCTGCACTCGCCAGCTGTGAGCCTGGCTTCTGGCTGAGTGTGCTCCCTCTGTGGGAGCGCACTGACCACCAGGGGGCAGCTCCTGCATTGAGTATCTGCCCCCTGATGGTCAGTGCACATCATAGCGACCATTCAGTTGATTTGCGTATTAGAGTTTTATTATATAGGATACCTTATATCTTGATCTTGGGCTGTTTATTTTCTTATTATTGAGTTTTAGGAGTATATTTAAACTAAATAATAACAAAAATATTTTAGATACAAGTCCTTTATCAGATATAGCTTTTACAAATACTTCTTCCAGTCTGTGGTTTGTCTGTACATTTTCTGGATATTGTCTTTTGCAGAGCAGATGTTTTAGTTTTAATGAAGTCCATTTTATCAATTATTTCTTCCATGGATTGTGCCTATGTTGTTATATCTAAAAAGTAATTTCCAAACCTAAGCTCATCTAGATTTTCCCTGTTTATTTTCTAGGTATTTTATAGTTATGAGTTTACATTTAGTCTGTGATCCATTCCTAGTTAATTTGTGTAAAGGATATAAGATCTGTGTCTAGATTCTTGTTTTTATTTTTATGTCCAGTTGTTCTAGCACCATTTGTTGAAAAAGACTACCTTTGCTTCATTGTATTGTCTTTGTTCCTTTGACAAATATCAGTTGACTATATTTATGTGGGTTTATTTATGGGCTCTCTATTCTGTTCCATTGATCTATCTGTCACTTCTTTCACCGGTACTACACTATCTTGATTACTCTTGCTTCATAGTAATTCTTGAAGTTGGGCAGTGTCAGTTCTCCAACTTTGTTATTCGCCAATGTTGAGTTCTCCTAGCCTGAGTCTGAGTCTACAATCTTTGGAATCAGTTTGTAGATATCCACCAAATATCTTGCTGGAATTTTGTTTGAGATGGCATTGTATCAACAGATCAAGCTAGAAAAAATGGACATCTTGACAATATTGATTAATCGTGAACATGGAGTATCTCTCCATTTATTTAGTTCTTCTTTGATATCGTTCATCAACATGTTGTGGTTACACCTTTTATAGTTGTCTCACAGTCCTTTGACATTCTGTTCTGGTTTTCTCTGTCTTTTTTTCCTCTTTGCTTTTCAACTTTGGAATTTGTGTTGTCATGTCCTCCAGCTCAGAGAGTCTTTCCTCAGCTGTATCCAGGCCATTAATGAGCCCATCAGAGACATTCTTCACTTCTGCTACAGTTGTTTTTTTCCCCTAGCATTTATTTTTATAGTTTCTTAGAATTTTTATCTTTGTTTATATTATTCATCTGTTCTTGCATGTTTTCTACTTTATTCATTAAAGCCCTTCGCATTTTAATCATAGTTTTTAAAAATTCCTCGTCTGATCATTCCAATAGTCCTGCCGTATTTGACTCTGGTTCTGATACTTGTTCAGTGCCTTTAAAATGTGCTTTTAGCCTTTAACGTGCCTTGTAATTTTTCTTGTAGGGTGGGCATAAATACTGGGTAAAAGGAACTGCAGTAAATAGGTATTTAGTGATGTAATGGTAAGGTTTGAGGAGAAGAGAAGCACTTTAGTCCTAAAATTGTGTCTTAGTCTTTTGGTGAGCCTATGGCCCTGGCTATGAGCAACCCAAGTGCTTCTCAGATTTCCCCCCTTGGGTAATGACTAGAGGGGGGCTGGATTTGGGAACCGACCTTCACTTAGTTAAGTTAGGCTCCAATAAAATCCTACCAGGTTAGTCTCTGGTAAAATGGTTAAGAAGGACACAATGTTCTGGCTATTTCAAACGTTCCCCTCCTCCTGCTGGGAGCACCAGGGCATTTTTCTTTGCTGTTCACTGTGAGGACGTGGTAGAGGTCCTGGGAGTAAAATTCACAAAAGTGTTCCCCACTCCAGCCCCATGACTAGGTTCCACTGGGGGAGTTTTTAACTTAAAGGTTGTTCACGCGGAGCCTCCAGCAATTGGTCAAGTACAATTCAGTTTTTCTCCCTAGATACCAGTAATTTGGAGGTGTCTGCTCATGGGTTCTGTTCCTGTTGTTTGCGATTTTCTGTATCTACTTGTCACTTTCTCCAATTTTGGTGGCAGCAGTTTGCCCTGTGACTGTACTGCCCTGACGAATTAAGGATAGTTTATTTTTTCAATTTGCTTAGCTTTTTACTTGTTAGGAGGGAGTGGAGGCTCATAGCATTCTTTCTTTAGTAAAAATGTTTTAAAATAATTTCAATAAATGCATAAATGTGATCATACTATACCTTAACTTATATTTTAGTCTTTCTTTTTGTGTCTATCTTTGCCTGGTACTCCTTCCTCCTTCCTACTTCCCCCACATGTAGCAGGACCCTTTCTCACCAATCAAGGTAACATGTTAATAACTCAGTACACATTCTCCATGTTTTTCTCTAGGCCTCCATAGACCTATATATCTATGTATGCAAGTGCTTATTCGAAGTTATTTGATTTTGGTTTAATAGAAACAAGATCATATTAGACATGTTTTTCAGCGTATTACTTTCCTCACAAACTAAACTGCTTGGAAATTACTGCAATTCAACTGGAATAGCTTTAATTTATTCTTTTTAATGTCGACATAATAGTCAATAGAGAGGATGTCCTTTAGTTAATTCAGCTGCAACTCTACTGCATTCTCAAGACAGGATTCTCAAAAGAATTCTCAATAGCATTCTCAAAAGACTCTTGATGTTTATGATGCAAGGCTTAAGGAGCCATCAGCTCAGAATGCATTGCACTTAGATTTGGAAAATAGCAGTTTAGTCTTCACCTGTTACACTTTTACAATTGTGAATGAAGATGTTATGTAACTTTCAAAGACCTGTATATCTCTGTAGGGGAAAGGAATCAAGAAAAAAAAAAAAAAAACCCATGAAAATCCATAACTATCTGCTTCGTATAATGGGCAGATAATGAAAATAATTTTTTTTTTCTTATGCAGGAGATTCTCTTCAATAAAGTAGGAAACAACACTGCTACCGCTGATGCTACCACCTGCCACCGAGGTCAGTGATAAGATGGCCCAATTCTAAGCCAGCCCCGGGTCGCCGCACGGTAGTGGATGTGTTCTGTAGAATCCTTTCCTCTACAAGGGATGGGGCTGTGCCTATGATGGGTTTCACTCCTGTCATTGTTTTTGTGATGAAAGTGAAGGCCCCAAATCAGTTGATTTTGAGTTCATCAAAAGCGAGATGATCCCAGGTTGCAGCCCTTACAAAGGGTCAGAGATTTCAAGAGGGAAAGAGATATTTTCTTCTGCTGGTTTTAAAGAAGCAACCAACCATGATGTGAGAGAGAGCACAGGGATAAGACCAGAGAAAGGATGGCCTCTAGGCATTGAAAGAAAACCCTCACCAAGAGCCAGTGAGAAAATGAGCCCTCCGTCCTGTAGCTGCAAGGAACTAAATCCTGCCACCAACCAATGAGGAGCTCAGAAAAGCACCCCTAGCCACAGGTGAGATCAGGGTCTGGGGTGACATTGTTATTTCAGCCTTGTGAGACCCTGGACGAATAACTCAGTTACACTGTGTCCAGAAGACTGGCTTACAGAACTTTGAGATAATAAATGGATATTGTTTTAAAACACCAACTTTATGGCAATTGGTTATGGGAAAATCTAAAACTAATAAAGTGACCTTAGACAAGACACAAAGTCTAGTCTTCACCACTATAACGTAAGACAGTGGGCCCAAAGAACTAGCTTTCTAGTTCCAGAACACCATATTTTTTTGATTCTACTGTAGATCAAAATCAAACCTCTTGTTTCCATGCTACTATCAGTCAACAGAAAGGTATTTGTATGTTTTTTAAACTATTTTATTTTTTAAAGATTTTTATATTGATTTTTAGAGAGGAAGGAAGGGAGAAGGAGAAAAAGAAACAACGACGTGAGAGCAGCTGCCTCCTGCACGCCTCCTACTGGGGATTGAGCCTGCAACCTGGGCACGTGCCCTGACCAGGAATCTAACTGGAAACGCTTTGGGGCATGCATGGGATGATGTCCAACTAACTGAGCCATACTGGCCAGGGCAGAAACAGTATTTGCTTAAAGAGATAGTATGGGGAATGATGGCATTCTTTTGGAACACTGTATTTATTCACAGTCTCCAACTTTAACATGTCATTTGAATGATCTGACATATTATATTAGGTCTAGCACATTTTGTAAGTATTTTGCATATTAAATAAAATCTTCCAGGCAGATTTGCAAAGAAACATTCATTTTATGAGGTTGAATAAAATGGTAAATCATTAAGCAATGGTGAGGTAGAGAAGACTTTGAAAGCAGATGTCAGTTATTGTAATAATGTATTTCTCAACATTGACCTTCAGCAATAGTGGTTTTGAGATAAAACCCTGGAGACTGCCCTTCCCCCTAGACTTTGCTCCCCCTCTCCCACCACCACCGAATTACACGCTGAAGTCCTAACCCTCAGAATGCGGCCTTATTTGGAAACAGAAATGTGGAAGACGTAATAAATTCAGAGGAGACCATTAGGGTAAGCCCTAATTCAATATGAATCGGGTCTTCTTACAAAGGGGAAATTTCAACACAGACACACACACAAGGGAAGAACACCCTGTGAAGATGATCACAAAGATCAGGTTTATGCCTCTACAGGTGAAGAAAAGCCAGAGATTACAAGCAGACCCATCAGGAGGGAGGCATGAAACAGATTCTTCCTCAAAATCCTCCAAAGGAACAAACCCTGCTGACAATTCCATCTTGGATCTCTGTCCTCTAGAACTGTGAGACAATACCTTTCTGTTGTTTAAGCCGCCCAGCCTGTATAGTTAGATATGGCAGCCCTAGCAAACTCATACATACATTATCCATACATAAATGTAATTTTAATGGTGATAATCAAATTATGATTTTGTATTTTATAATAATGTTGATAGGTAAAATAATGTTGCATTTTACCTATCAATATTCCACTGAAAGTATGTTTTATTTTCTCCTTTATTAATAAATAGAGGCTCTATGCACAAAATTCATGCACAGTGGGGGTGGGGGGGGTCCCTCAGTCTGGCCTGCACCTTCTCGCAATCCAGGACTGCTGGCTCCTAACCACTCTGCCCGCCTGCCTGATCACCCCTAAACACTCTGCCTGCCTGCCTGATTGCCCCTAACTGCCTCTGCACTGGCCCTGCCATGGCTTCGTCCGGAATGACATTCAGAAGGTTGTCGGGAAGTTCGTTTGGCTATCCGGTCTAATTAGCATATTACACTTTTATTATTATAGATGCTATAACAAACCTGCAATTTGTTCATGTGGCATTTCTCTTTTTGTGGGTTATTTCCTTTGGATGCATTCTAAGAAATGAGAATCGTTTACCAGTCTTTTACTGTTGAGAACATTTTTTAAAAAGTGACTAAAAATATTGTATGCCTTGGAAATGTGGGCTAAATTGCTTTCCAAAGAGTTGTAGCAATTTACCTTCCACCTGCCACGTGATGAGTGGTTTCAGCACGTTCTCACCAACGTGTGACTGTGTCTTCTCAAGTACTCTCATACACGTTTTGAGGACACATTCAGATTTATTCTTGAGTTGGGAGAGGGGTAGCAGAGTATGTTTATTTGGTCCTAACTTTTCCTCTCCCTGTTGGTTTCAGGCAGTCACCAGAGGAAACTAGCCAGGTGTCTTTAGGTTACACTTTCCTTGATGCATTTAATTGAAGAGAGTCCAGTAGAAGATAATTCAAATTGGGTGTAAATTGTTTTAATGAAGGAAATAGCTTATTGCGTTCATTCTAACCTTCATGAATTTTATGTCTTTATCTATGGCGATCGTTGTAATGAGGGGAATGAAGACAGCTTATAGAGCAATATTCCTTTCTGGATTTCCTTAATGTAGCATATTTATGCGGGAATTTACCTTCCACCTGTCCAAGGAATTAGGCTGGGCGTTTGCTGGGTTTCCGCACATCCTGGATGAGACCTGTGACAGCTCCACTCTCATGCCTGTCCTTCCCTCTACAACTCCGCCCTGATGCCAATGGCCACACCTAATCCCCCCCCCCCCCCCCCCCGCGAAAATCTATCTGGCTAAGAAACCAAATGTCTTTTTGAAGAACCTGAAGGGCCGCTGAGCAAAGCTAGCCCGCCGCTGTTCCTTCAGCATCTTATCCTCTCCAGTCTGCATCCACCTGCCCACTCCCACCCGCACCGCGCGCAGATTTCTGTCCTCCAAGCCTGGGAGGTCTGAGTCAACCGCGCCTCCAGCCCCTCCTGGGTGTCCGGAAGAACCCTGCGCTGTGGGTCGTTGCGGGGCGCCTAGCAGAGTTTGGAGCAGATAGATACAAAGCATCCCTCTTGGGGGGCGGGGGGCGCGTGCAGAAGAGACGAGCTGAGTCAACTCGGATTTGGGGCTGCCCATCCTGTTAGGGTGGCTGGGGAAACGTGTCCTCCAAGCGTTCAGACCAGAGCCTTTGACCCCGTGTCTGTCTGTCTCTATCCCCTCTCCGTCCTCTCCTCTTTTTCTCCTTTTCCAGACCGGAGAGGGGCGCCGTTCCTGTTCCCTTTCCCCTCACCCACCCATTAAAAAACGAGGAGAGGGGTGGGAACCCGTGGAGTAATAGTGGATCTGCCTGGTGCTGAATGAATGGAGGCTCAGGGCGGGACTGAGCGCGCGGCCCCCGCCAGCCCCGCGCCCCCCGCCGGCCCGGGGCTGAGGCTGCTGCCGGCTCCGCGCCCGACACCGAGGCCGCGGCGCGGCGGGGAAGGTGGGGGGAGGGTGGCTTCCTCCGCCCCACACCCAGTCTCCTGCCGGATATATAGTCTCACGTTCGACAGCCGAGAGGCAGGAGCCGTTTCCTTGAGGCGGGAGCACTTCCCGGAGCCCCGGGGAAGGACCGGAGCAGAGGAGCCCCACCCCGAGCCGGAGGAGCAGGTATTCCAGAGCCCGCGGCCCCGCGGCTGGCAGAGCCCGCGCCCGGGAAGGCAGAGCGCGCGCTGGGCTGGGCTGGGCAGGGTGGGCGCGGGGCCGGGCGGGAGCACCAAGCGTTTCCAAGGCTGTGCGCGCTGGAGCTGCCCCGCCGCACCCCGCCCGCAGCCAGCCGCTAGGGCGTGTTGGGCGCCCGCATAGTCGCCAAAGTGGGGTGCGCAGGGGCGGGAACCGCGGATCGCGAGGGTTACAGTGGGGTGCTGCTCCCGGGCAGCCCGGGACCGAGGGAGAGGGGCGCCCGCGGGGCTCGCCCAGGCCTCCTTGGCCCGCGGCTGTTCCTAGAAAGAGCGCGCCGACTCGCAGGCCACGTGCGGCGCGGCGCCGCCCCGGCTGCCCTCCCTGCGCTTCCCGCTTCCCGACCCGAGATCGCGGCCTCGCCCCCCCGCCCCCCCTCCTCCAGCCCCACCGGGGCTGCGAGCGTCCAGACCCTCCCATTCGGCTCTGGCTGGACACGGTCTGGGGCGCCGGGGCGGAGTCTGTCCTGGTTGAAAGTTTGGACCTCTCGCTGTGGCCTGGGCGTCTTGCGGGGAGCCGGGAGCCAGGACTGGAAGACTCCAGCTGGAGTCCATGGCGTGCGGGGAGGCAAGTCAGATTCCCGCGGGCAATTCCATTCCATTAAGAGAAATAATGAGCACCTGAGTCCTAGAAGCCATAGGAAGGCGCCCGCCTGCCAGCCTCCTGCTCTTTCAGCTGTCGGGACAGGGAGAATTATGAGCACTTATTCTTCCATGAGTGAGTCCCCTGGTGTGAGCAACCGAGGTTCTCGCTGGAACCCACGAGCTTTGGGTCGTTGTGCCCCGTGGAGTGCCCCATTGTGCCACGCGCAAGAACAGTGACCAGGACACAGTGGACGGTGCTTTTTCTGCGCGCCAGAGGCTGCATCTAGACAAGGTTGACACTGAGCAAATGGAAATTTGAGGATTATGCCGTGGATTCAATTACCCATCTCTCCCTATCCCCATTTCTATGAGCTGGAGTTTTGGCTGAAGAGCATTTTTAGTCTAAAAGTGCAAAGGAACTGAATACAATTTGAATGCCGCCCCTCACGGCAGAAGCA